AAAAAAAAAAATAATAATAATATATATATATACACAGTTAATGCTTACAGATATAAATTCAAGTACTAAAAAATTCTAAATAATGAGATTCTCAAGTACCTAAAATTGAGCAAATCAACAATTTCCCACATAGCTTTACCACATGGTAATTTCTATAATAAGTGATTTTAAGAAGTAGCCTTATTTAATCCAAAGATTAGGTCAGTTAGTGACTTTGTAAAGTTGAAAAAAGAACTGTCATATGTAAATTTCTATGGCAAATTTTACATATTTGATTTACTTAAGAACCAAAAGGTATATAACAATTTCAGAATTTTAGATAGCAGTCATACAGAAGATAAAAATTACTAACTTACAATAAAGAACAAATGTCATTTTAATGAATCAACTAAGTACTTCTCCTCTGTCAAATCTTGAGTTTTTCCAGGTTCATAGATTCCCAAATTGTTTTACTTCTAGGAAACTAAATCTACTTTGAACGTGGCAAAAATAGGGTTAGAGATTAACACATATTTATTTCAAACCCAAATTAAATTCTTTCCAAAGTTTCTGAATATCTGAGAACACAAAATGTGAGTTGATGCGGGTTTTAAAGTGATTAACTATAAATAAATATAGGCAAATGTGTTTATAGTTAAATATGTATAAATATGTTCCATAATCTACAACTGTTAGCATCACTTATTTTTATCTAACAAAATATGCATAAATATGCTTAATTCATACCAAAGCACACCTCAGTGTCAAACATCCAGCTGGGTATCTGACACGCTGCAGGTGCGCAACTGAACTGAAGAGAAAATTTTTACAAAATGTACTTAGATCTTATTCACAGGCAATACTCCATTTAATTACCAAAAGTCATATAGTTTATCCTGGGTAATAGCAGTACTTGTCAAAAAGTATACACGTAAAATATAGAATTGAGTGCACTGTCACATTTCCTAATTATAAAGTATACTGATTTTAAGAACTATACCTATTAATCCCAAAGTAGAGGACTCAGTTAATGATTTCTGTAGTTGAAAATTAGCACCATCATATGCTAATCGCTAATTTCTGTTAACTAAATATACTTGAGGGACAAAACCAAAAAAGGGTGGTGACCCAGACTGGGAAGAGGCATTTTCCTGAAAAATGAGTTCTTAAATATTACTTGTTAAATGAAACAAAGAAATAGGATATTTCAAATTTGTCAATGAGTTCTAGAAATCAAGAAAGCCAAAATGATCTGAGTAACCTAAATGATTACTCAAGAAGTAGAATACATCCCAATTAAAACAGTGCAACAAGCTTGCACCTTCAAGAAATCAGCCTGCACTACTGCTCACGCAGTTTAAAAGTAAGGAGTAACTTAGGTTTGCAAACATTCTACTGGTGACATCCCTTAGAAAAGCCATAACCACCTCTGGAGTCTTTAAATTTAACAAAACTTTTGTACAGGATGTCCCAAGTCACCCCTGAAGTCACTATACATAAGCAAAATGGGAATTTGTAGCTAAATGTATTTTTATTTACAAAATATTCATTACAAAATATTTACAAAATATTCTTTATGTGTGGGCCATTTCTTTATAAAACTTTGACCTTTCACCATTTGTTCTAACTCTGTAAGATCATCTCTCCACAAGCTGAAGTTATTCTCGTAATCATCATCTGACTTAAACCACTCAAATATTCCTTACAAATAAATAAGGGACAAAAAAAAAAAAAAACCGCTACGTAACCAAGGTCTCAAGCCTCTGATCACAGCAAAGAGGGGAGGGAGGCTACTGAGAGATGGCAGGGGGAGAAAGGGGGTTACGAAGGTATATCAGGAGGAGGATAAAACAGAAAAGAGAAACAGAGAAGAAAAGCACAGAAATCTTTCTGAAATGAACCCTGGGACCAAAACTTAAGTGACAGAAAAGCTAGAGAAAGACAAAGGGCAGATGAAGGGCGGGAGGCAAAGTGCTGATCCGCTTTCTGATACTAGGCATCATGCCTGTTTCCTGTTTCAGAAGTGAGGCCTTGAACACTCCACCACAGAAGATGTATTCAGGAAGACACCCGAGATGGTTCCTGTACGAACCCCAAGCCAGTGATAAACTGATAAACAATTAGTTTCAAAATAGCCATGTTGAAAAAACACTTACCCAAATAATTACCAAGGAGGAAGCATAATAAGAAGTTAACAACATTGAGTTCCCAAACATCAAAACAAAACAAAGTGCAAGAGAAATCTGGAAAAATCCAAGAAAAAATATAATTAATACAAATGAAACAAAAAACATTGGTTTTTATGGTGAAAATTGCACATGCCCATGATAAACAAAATTCAAATCTTCCAGAAGGGAACACACAATGAAAATAGTCCACTCTCCATTCATACTTCAAACCCACAGATAACCACTACCAAGTTTCCTGTACATTCTTTTAGAAATCAAATGTACAAATTCTAGTTGGTATTTTTTAAGGGAAAATTACCCTATAAGATCTATTAATTTTTGCTTCTCAATATATTTCACTTTTTCATATCAACCCAAATCAACCTGAATTATTCTGTTAAGAACTGAAAAACAGTATTCCATTCTAAAGATACACCATCATTTTTTAATATGTCCTCAGAGTCCTGCTGAACAATTAAGTGCTTTCCACTTCCACTTTGTTTTTCTTATTACAAACACTGCTATGATAAATATCCTTATTGCATATCTTATGCACATATCAATACTTTTATCGATAAATTGCAAGAATCAGAATTGATGGATCAAAGACTTATAAATTTTACAATTAGAAAAAATACTGACAAATTGACCTGTAAAAAGATTATACACATTTTGAGGGCTCCTGCTGATGCACATTCTGGCAACACTGTGTATTAATTCTTTTAAATATGCACCAATTTAGTAGGAAAAAAATTTACCTCATCGTTTCCCTTTTCCATTCTTTTAACAGTAAATGAGACACAGCGTCATTTCTGCTATTTACTGTTTTTTGTTATTTTGTGTTGCACAGGAATTGTTGATTCCCATGTCCCTTTCTCTACTGGGTTGTGATTACTTAAGAGCGCTCTTTATATATTATAGAGCATAACTCGTCATCCAGCAAACATATTGTAAATATTCTTCCCAGTTTATTTTTTACCTTAGTAGTATTTTTTATTATGTTTATCTTCTAAATCTTCATATTACTAATTATCATTCACATCCTTTAGGTCTTCAGGACCTATTTATGTAATTAGAATGAAAAGGCTTTAAAACTAAAATAAACTATATTTTCTCCTAGAAATTCTATTTTGATCCATATATATCAATTTCCATGTGAATTTTATAATCAGTTTAAAATGAGTTAAAAGCTTTATTCAATAATGCACATTATTTAAAGTTATATCTGTCGGATATTATATCTTTAGATCCAAAAGCAATACATACTGCTTTTCCATTTCTTTAGGTCTTCTTTTGCATATACATTAGTTAGTATAAAGTTTTCTTCCTAAAGATCCTGCATATTTAAGTTTATTTTAACGTATGTTATATCTATTGCTATTATATCAGTAATCTTTTTTCATATTTTCTGATTACTTGTATTTATAAAAGTCATATTAAATATCCATCAATAAATACAGCTTTGATTGTTTCTAGTAGTCGTTTATTAATTAGGAGTTTCCAGCTATTCAAAATCAAATCACCTACAAATAACGACATCTTCCTTTCCTATTTTTAAAACTCTTAGTTTTTAGTAAACTGTTTTCATTAACATTTCTGTAACAATATTAAGTAGTCAGAGTAGCAGTAGGCATATTTATTATGCTTCTGGCATTAACAGGAACAGTTCAACTGCTTAACATTTTATGTGATCTTAGCTTTTGGTTTGAAGTGTTTAAAATATTTAAAATTTAAAGGAAATAGCCATCTGAGATAGGGAACTGGCAGATATTTCTTTGGATACTGCTTTGGACGTTAATTAATTGCTCAAGCATTGGTTAATTTAGTCAGGAAGTTTCAAAGTTTCAAATTAAACTTATCAAAACAGATAGAGGCAAGTTCCACTTGGTTAGAGCCAAGATGGTGGAGACCCTGACCACCTCTTGACCCTATATCTTTATTATACACCTCATTACCATGAAAGTTTCTGAGAAAACCTCCCACTCCCATTATGCACCTGACCTCACGACACTTCCTATTTGATCGTATGTAGTTAAGCAGAGGGCATCACCCTAATTCCAAAAAAACACCACCCCTTCCCAAGAAATAGCATGAATATTCCTTCCTTGTTTAGCCTATAATTAAGCTGTTGCTTAAAAAGAAAGGCAAAAGGAACCATGGGTCCAGCTGTCTTCTGCAGAGAGAACTAGCCGCTGACCTATCTGAGGAGCAGACTTTCTATAGTTTAAGAATAAATCTCACTTTCACTTCATACAGTCAGCTGGCTCCTGAATTCTTCCTTATGTGAAGCCAAGTATCCAGCTGGACTTCAAGTGGCTCCCAAAATTGGGAGTCATCTTCCTCCGTCACATCTATTTTTACTTAAGGTCTTAAAAATCAGACACAGAAGTTGACTTTTATTCAGTACCTTTATAACATCAAAGGAAAAGGTCATATTGTTCATCTTTCTTTAGATCTTTTTTTTTTTTTAAACAGGCAGGTTATGGCTCTGTTGGCCAAGCTTGAGTGTAATGGCAGGATCGTAGCTCACTGTAGCCTTTAACTCCTGGGCTCAAGCCATACTCCTGCCTCAGTCTTCCAAGTAGCCGGGACTACAGGCCCATGCTGCCACATGTGGCTAATTTTTTATGAATTTTCATATAGGATGGAGGTTTCACAATGTTGCCCAGACTAGTCTCTAACTCCTGGCCTCAAGCAATTCTTCTGCTTCTGTGTCCTGAAGTACAAGGACCACAAGCATGAGATACCATGACTGGTATTTAAATTTCTCAATGTGGGCCATGCGCAGTGGCTCATGCCTGTAATACTAGCACTCTGGGAGGCTGAGGTGGGTGCATTGTTTGAATTCACAAGTTCGAGACCTGCCTGAGCAAGAGCCAGGCCCCGTCTCTACCAAAAACAGAAAAACTGAGGCAAGAGGATTGCTTGAGCCCAGGAGTGCCACAGCACTCTACCCAGGGTGACAGTTTGAGACTATATCAAAACCCCCCCCCTCAAAAAAAAAAAACAAAAACAATTCTCAATGTGACCAATTATAAGAATTTCTAATGTCAAAATATTCTTGCATTCCTAGAATGAAATATTTAGTACAAACTTAACAAAATATGTGCAAGATCTATATATATGAAGAAAACTATAAAAACTTGAAAGAAAATAATCAAAGGAGAACTAAATAAATGAAGAGTTACTTCATGTATGAAAGACTTAATATTATCAAGATGTCAGTTTTTCCCCACTTAATCTATAGATTCAGCATAATGCCAATCATTATCTCAGCAAGTTATTTTGTGGATATTGACAAACTGATTCTAAAGTTCATAAGGAGATATAAAAGACCCTTAATATTAAAGAAGAACAAGGTCAGAGGCCTAACACCATTCTGTTTCTTGATTTACCATAAAGCTACAGCAATAAAAATAGAGAGATACTGGTGAAAAAATACACACATAGATCAACGGAAGAAAATACAGAGCCCAGAAATAAACCCACATAAATATAGTTACCTGATCTGTGATAAAGGAGGGAGCACAGCCAATATAATAGAGCAAAGACAGTCTTTTTTTTTTAAGACAGTCTTACTCTGTCACTCTGGGTAGACTGCCCTGGCATCATAGCTCACAGCAACCTCAAATTCCCGGGTTCCAGTGACCCTCTTGCCTCAGCCTCTCAAGTAGCTGGGATACAGGCGAGCACCACTATACCTGGCTAGTTTTTTTCTATTTTAAGTAGAGCTGGGGTCTTGCTCTTGCTCAGGCTGGTCTCGAACTCTTGAGCTCAGGCAATCTACTTGCCTCGGCCTTGCAGAGTGCTAAGGCAGAGTGCTAAGATTACAGGTGTGAGCCACCACACCCAGCTTCAAAGATAGTCCTTTTAACAAATACTTCTGGAACAATGGTATGTCCACATATTAAAATAAATCTAGACATAGACTTATCACAAAAATTAACTCAAAATAGACTGTAGATAAAAAGGCACATCACAAAAATACAAAACCCCTAAAAAGTAAGATCTATGAAAGAAACAATTAAACTGGACTTAAAATTAAAAATTTCTGCTCGGCAAAAGACAATGTGAAAAGAAGGCAAGCCACAGACAGAGATATATTTGCAAAAGATTTCTGATAAAGGATTATTATCCAAAATATACAAAGAATTCTTAAAACTCAACAATAAGAAAATGAACACTTCATTGAAAAAGTGGGCAAAAGACCTTAACAAATACCTCATCTAAGGAGATACCTGGGTGGTAAATAAGCATATGAAAAGATGTTCGACCAAAGTAAAACCAGGAGATACCACCACACATCTGTTAGAATAGACACAATCTGTATACTAATACTACCACTTGCTGACTCTGCAAGACAGTTTGGCAATGTCCTAAAAACTAATCATACTCTTACCATACTACCAAACGATCATTCTCCTTCACTTACCCAACTGAACTAAAAACTACATCCATATAAAACTCTTGGTCTTAAGCCATCCTGCTGAGTAGCTGAGACTATAGGCACATGCCACCACACCTGGCTATTATTTTTCTAATTTTTCTTGAGCACAAATGTTTATAGCAGCTTTATTCACAATTGCTCAAACTTGGAATTAACCAACACCCATTCAGTAGGTGAATAAATAAACAATGGCACATCCACATAATCAAAATGTTACTCAGCACTATAAAAAAATGAGCTATCTAGCCATGAAAAGATGTGGAGAAAACTTAACTGCATTTTACTAACTAAAGGAATACAATCCAAAAAGGCTACATACTGTTCAATTCCAAATACATGACACTCTGCAAAAGGCAAAAACTAGAAAGGCAGTAAAAAGGTTAGTGTTTAGAGGGGTGGTGGTGAAGGGGAAGGATGAATAAGCAGAGCACAGAGGATTTTAGGGCAGGGAAAGTTATCTGTATGACACTACAATGGTGAATACATGTCATCGTATGTTTGTCAAAACCGTTCAAAATGAACAACACCAAGGTGGAACCCTAACATGAACTGTGGACCTTAGGTGATTATGGTGTGTCAGTGTAAGTTCATCAAATGTAATAAATATACCATCTACTGTGGGATGTCAAAAGTGGGAGAGGCTGTACATGAATGGGGTCGGTGGTATATGGGGACTCTCTGTACTTTCTGATCAACTTTGCTATAAACTTAAAACTGTTGTAAAAAATAACATTTTTTTTAATTAAAAGAAAATAACTAAAACCACAATAAGATACCACTTCATACCCACTAAGATGCTATCATCACAAAAGCAGAAAATAAATGCTGGTGATGAGAATGAGAAATTAAAACCCTGGTACACTGTTGGTAGGAATGTAAAATAGTATAGCTGCTGTGGAAACAGTTTGGGAGTTCCTCAAAAATAGATTTACCATAGGATAAATCCAGCACTTCCACTTTGGGGCATATGCAAGCCCTCAAAGAGTTACTGGTATATCCATATTGATGGCAGCACTAATTACTATAGCTAAAACGTGGCAGCAACCCAAGTACCCACAGATAGATGAATGGAAAGAAAATGCAGTCTATACATATATGCACACAATGAAATATTATTCAGCCCTAAAAAGGAAGGAAATTCTGACATATGCTTCAACATGGAAGAAACTTGGAAGGAAATTTTGCTAAGTGAAATAAGCCAATCACAAAGACGAATATTGTATGATTTCACTTACATGGTAGTCAAAATTATAAAGACAGAAAGTAGAATGGTGGTTTCCAGGGGCTGAGAAGATGGGAGAATAAAGAATGATTATTTCTTTTTTCTTTTCTTTCTTTTTTGAAACAGACTCTTGCTTTGTTACCCTCGGCAAAGTGCCCATGGCATCATAGCTCACAGCAACTGCCAACTCCTGGGCTCAAGCAATTCTCTTGCCTCAGACTCCCCAATAGTGGGGCCTACAGGCACCCACCACAACACCAGGCTATTTTTAGAGATGGGGTCTCGCTCTGGCTCAGGCTGCTCTCAAAGTTGTGAGCTCAGGGCAATACACGCACCTCAGCCTCCCAGAGAGCTATGATTACAGGCATGAGCTACCACACTTGGCTTTTTTTTTTTTTGAGACAAAGTCTCACTATGTTCCCCTCAGTAGAGTGCACATGGCGTTATAGATCACAGCAACCTCAAACTCCTGGGTTCAAGTGATCCTCTTGCCTCAGCCTCTAGCGTTGCTGGGATTACAGGAACCTGCCATAACGCCCAGCTATTTTTAGAGATGGGGGTCTCGTTCGTGCTCATTCTGGTCTTGAACTCCTGAGCTCAAGCAATCCACCTACCTTGGCCTCCCAGAGTGTAGGATTACAGGTGTGAGCCACAGCACCCAACCAGGAGTTATTATTTAATGGGTTTAGAGAGCTGCAGTTTTATAAAATAAGAACGGTTCTACAGATATGATAATGGTTGCAAAAAAAACATGAATGTACTTAATAACACTGAACTGTGCACCTAAAAATGTTTAACATGGGAAATTTTATTTTATGTGTATTTTACAACAATTAAAAAAAAAGGAAAAAAATCCTTCTGGAAACATTTCTATTTTTTTCTTTGCGTAACGATAAAGATTTAGGGATTTGTTAAGTGGTAACAGAAGACAGAGAATAGTCAGTAAGTCACTTCACAAAGTATGTATCATTTACCCAATATTGGTTCTACTACAAACTATACCTGTGTCATTTTAGTACTTTCAAAATCACAACTCCAAGTCAAAGCCCTCAGCCAAAGTTGCCTAGGAGACTGTATGATGGGCCAGTTCTGAATCCTTAACATTTTAATCTAATTTGTACTATAAAATAAAAAGCTATATTAAATGGTTTGAAAAAAAAAAGTAAGCCAAGTATAAAAAAGATTACTAACACATTCATAAACAGAGATGTGAAAATCCTTATAAAATAATAACTGAATCCAGCAATATGTAAAACTTGTGTTTACCCCAGAAAAGCAAGATTTTTAATGCTAGAAAATCAATTAATGTCAATTTACCACAGTAACAGATTAAAGAGAAGAAAATACACAAAATCACTTAAACAGATGCAAAAAAGCATTTCATGAAATTTAACATTTATTTCAAAGTGCTTAAAGCATGATAAGGATGATACATTAGAAGGATAGAAAAGCCAGCTTGAATAGTTAGACAAATCTGGAATAATTCGAGCATCAACATAAATAACGAAAATAATGGATTATATTGCACTGAATAAACTATACATCATTTTCTCTTAGACACAGCAAAAACTGGTATAAGATTTGAATAGGAATGTCACACAGGTACACAAAACCCATGAAGGGCCCATAAACCAAAAGATGCTTAGCTTTGTTAAGGAACAGAGAAAATGCAAATTAGTCATAAGATACTATTTTATACTAACCAGACTGATAAAATAAAACAGAATGTAGAAAAATATGAGCTATTTATCATGTGTTGTAGTTTGAAGTAGTTCAATCATTTAGGCAAAATAATTTAGTATTTATAAAGTTGAACCTGTGTATAATTAACTACCCAGCAAGTCTACTCACTACTAGGTAAATATCCTAGAGAAATTCTTCACACATGGACTGCCATATTAGAAAAAAAAAATTGCTTTCTTTGGGGCCACAGTGTTTTAGTAGGTCAAGAGACGTGTGAGTTATATATGCTTCGAGAAGCTGGCTCCAGACTCAGAACTAGCATAAGTAAAAGACAACTCACGTGGCAATTAATGTGTTACTATATATGGCCTAGAAGGTATGTCTAAAAATGTACAGCACTACACTGTACTACTTATAACTGAAAAAAGAGGCTGGGGAGAAGAAAAGAATCTAAATGTCTTTCAATAAGAAATGAAAAAAAATGAGCTTTATTTATATAATGAAAACTATAAAACAGTGAAAATATCTGAACTCTATCAACTTAAAAAAAGATACCATTTAAAATAATGTGAATATTTAATAATAGAAATATGCTACTTAGAAATACCCATATGAAAAAGTTATAAAGAAAAGCAAATTAATTACTACTTTAAAAAGTCAGGGTAACAGGGCTTGGTGCCCGTAACTCACTGAGTAGGGCGCCAACCACATACACCAAGGCTGGCGGGTTCGAGCCCTGCCTGGGCTTGCTAAAGGACAATGACAACTGCAACCAAAAAATAGCTGGGCATTGTGGCGGGTGCCTGTATTCCCAGCTACTTGGGAGGGGGAGGCTTAAGCCCAAGAGTCTGAGGTTGCTGTGAGCTGTGACACCACAGCACTCTACTTTAGGTGACATAGTGAGACTCTGTCTCAGGAAAAAAAAAAAAGTAGGGTAATAGTTACCTCTAGCAACAGTAAGAGGGTGAGTTCAGGGCACACAGGACTCCTAAGTAATAAGGTTCAAGTTTTCATGTAGAGGATAGGCTTGTGGCTATTTTATAACTGTGTTCATAATTTCCCTACACATTATTTATGTCCTTTTTTCACTCATTAGAGAATGAAAATAACAGCATATGATAAAAACAGAAAAAGAAAGCATCAAAAATTATGAAAGCTCACAGCGGAGACAAGACAAATGTTTTTAAAGGATTAACATAAGGACTTTGCTTAGCTGTTCCACCAACCTGGAACACTGTTTTCTCTGGTATCTAGCTGGCCAACTCCGTCTCCTCTTTCCAATCTTGGGAAGACCGGCCCTGCCTGCCTCATCTGATACCTTGGTCCCACCCATCAGTGTAGGAGCTCCTGACATGGTTTACTCTGACTGTTCTTTCTTTTCTTCTATAATCCTTATCACCTTTTAACACACGACCTCGCTTAGCCATTTACTATGCTCCTCACTTATCCTCTGTCTTCCTTCCTTCCCCTGTTCTACTAGAAAATGAAGAACAGGAATGCTGGGGTCTCCACAGTTCCAGTCACTGGTGTGTCCCATCTGCTGAGCAGTTGGTGTTCAGTGGATGAACATTCCACTTCACTTTAACAGACAGTTCCTGGGTAATATACCAATCCGTGTTTCTCCTTCATGAATTCTTTCTTTTACCTATAATGCATAAGTTGGGTAAAACCCCAATTAAATAGTACATGCTTTATCATTTTTCGGGTGGCCTATTCTGTTCATTCATAGTATTTGAATTCTGTTCATTCATAGTATTTGAATGACACTTGTTTTTATTATGAAGTCATGCTGCAAATAGTTTCAACCATGAATAAATTAAATATTAATCAGTTTAAGGGCAAACTAAATAAAAAACAATTAAAAAGCCATACCATGTGTATATAAATGATCTTCCGTAATTTACATATATCAATGTACCCCACAACATATACTGCAAATAGTGATGCAATCTGAAATTTAAGAAGAAATTAAGTTATAAAATCATTATAAAATTGAAGAAAAAATTATCTTTATTATATCAAATTGATTTATATTTATACAGAAAGTAAGTTCTTTAGTTTTTTCCTTTTATCTGCCCAGTTATTATGGAATATGGTCAATATATAAGCATAGCAAATACTGGTTGATTTTTTTCTCCCATACACAGCTCTCCCATCCATGGGAACTGTCTACTTTGTGAATTATCCAGAACAATACTTATTTCAATCAGGGTGATACTACTGTCAACACAAACAATTATAAAGTGTCCAATCAAAAAAGATAAAAAGGTAATTATAACATGACAACTAATACATAATTGGGAAGATACATTAAACTAAAAAATAATTATACAATGCATGTGCACATAAAAATACATTAATTTTTGCTTGTTAATCACTCTTCACAAGTTATGGCCATTAGTGTTCTCTTTCATTAATACAAATATTCAAGAATTAGTTAAAACTGAATTTATCAAATTTCAAATTAGAAGGAGTACTTTCACTGCAAAGATATTTTTAGTTTTCCATTTTAAAGAAAATTAAATTTTACATGTCAAAAATTCTAACATCGAATTATATGGATGAATTTATTGGTTAAATGATGGTATAGTACCTCTTACACAGAAGTATGATGTCAGACAATGCTTCCCCACTCTTCTTCATGAAGAAAGCAATTTAAATTAAATTCTACGCCTTGCCTACTACATATAGCACAAACAAGCCGCAAAACAGCTGAATACTTAAACTTATTACTTAAGTGCCATTCATCAAGTTTTTATCTCTAAATAATCCATTAGTAAGATAAACAACAGTATCTTCTTTCCCTGTAGTCAGAGTAACCCATGGAGAACAAGGCATTGCTGTTATTCAACATAAGCCCTAAAGAGAGGCATAATACCGCCCCTTCTCCCCCCCAAGAAGCAGGGCACCTTCACTAACTGGAAGCAATGCAATGGGAATGCTCCCTTTCCAACCTAAGGGATAAGCAATAGCACACTTGTAAGTTAGAATCTTCAAGAGACAATTTAAACTAGAAACTGATTTAAAATGTCAACAAACTAAACAATGTAAAGGAGTCAAAAGAGAAGATCAAAGGAAAAAGTGGAAATAATCCATTTAAAAACAAATGATGATATGAGTAGCTAACTTTAGGTGAGTGCAGTGGCTCCTGCTTATAATCCTGGCACTCTGGGAGGCAGGTAGATCACTTGAGCTCAGGAGTTTGAGACCAGCCTGAGCAAGGAGAGACCCCATCTCTAAAATTAGCCAGGCATCATGGCGGGCACCGATAGTCCCATCTACTCAGGATGCTGAGGCAAGAGGATCACTTGAGTCCATGAAGTTTCAGGTTGCTGTGAGCTATGACACCATAGTACTTAACCCCAGGGTGATTGAGTGAGACTGTCTTCAAAAAAAAAAAAAAAAAGCTAATTTACTGACATCTCACTAAATACTATGTTAAGAGTCTTATATAATTACCTCATCTGATCTTAAACACATCCCAATAAAGTAGGTTCTTTCATTTTTCTCTATTTTAGAAACCTGTGTTTTCACCATGTCAAGACTTTAGTGAACAGAACTAGGACTCAAATCCAGGTCTAACTTCATCTCCCAGGCAAGACATTTCAAAGAATCATGCAGAGAAACTCTACAATTGCATTATGCAAATATGGCTGGCATAATTTTTAAAATAGCATGAAGAGGGGAATATAAACACACAAGCTACTTGCTCTCTCAATAAGCCACCTTGCTTTGTAAACTTCCATTGAAGGGAGGCAAGAGTATATGCAAAGGCAAGCTGCACATTATTTAGGGCAAACGTCCTCAAACTATGGCCCGTAGGCCACATGCAGCCCACCTAGGACACTTATCCGGCCCACCAGGTGTTTTTGCCACCACTGCCTGTCCTGCTTAGCAGCCAACTCGTCCTAGGCCCACAGTCCAGCCCTCCAACAGTCTGAGGGACAGTGAACTGGCCCCCCTGTTTAAAAAGTTTGAGGACCCCTGATTTAGGGGGTTATATAAAACATGAAGTGGTTAGCTGTCTATCCTCTAATCCTGTATGTATTTATTTTTCATGTAAGAATATACAAAACTATTCATAGAAAAAACACATTTTACTTAAGAGAAATACTACAGTTTATTACAGAGGAAGACTTAAAGTTATAGCACAAGTCCTCTCTTAAAAACACTAACAAAGACTGAATAACACTGATAGCATTTGTACAAATTTGAGTTCAATCAATGCACTCTATTAGTAAGAAAATAATTTAACAATCATTAATAAACTTGACTTATTTCCCTGTCCTGATTTTTCATTAAAAGCATTAACTAGAAAATATTTTAGCACTTAGAATCATACAAATCTCAGTTATAATTTTATACAAATGAGCTTGCATAATCAAACATGTTAATCTTAAATTAGTTTAAAATGTAATCAGCTCACCTGAGTAAGAAGCACAAACTGAGCAAACTGCCACGGAAGCATGAAAAATACGTTGGAAATGCAAAGTGCAATCAAGCTTCCTCTATAAAGTTTTGTAGCCCTTGAAAAGATAAATATCAGTAAGTTTACCACTAAACAGTCTAGCATGGTTTCAAACCGTTACACTTTAGAATCTCACATGGACTGGTTAGAACCTAAATATAAAAGGAACCAATGAGTTAGCAATTACAACTCCTGACACTCAATTACAATACTCTGTGAAAAATAAAGATGTGTTATTATTGTGAAAATGCAGAATCTGTCAAAGAGGAGTGTGGCTGGGTCAGTATCCATTAAATTTTTTTTTCAAATTCTATTTCACGAATTCAAAATAAAAAAAAAATGTTTAATGCTGATTCAATAGATTCACTAATTGGGAAGGCAGATGTGTCTTTGAAAAAATGATAAAAAAAAAAAAAAAGTAGCATATTCTACGTGCTAAGTGTTATATAGACAAGAATGCAGAATAAGGGCTCAAGTGGCTGAAGGAGATTCCGGGAGGATGCGAGCTATACATCGGGAGATTCCGTGAGGATGCGAGCTATACATCGGGAGATTCCGTGAGGATGCGAGCTATACATCGGGAGATTCCG